TTTAGGGGGCGCCTGGGTGGCGCAGTCGGTTAAGCGTCCGACTTCAGCCAGGTCATGATCTCGCGGTCCGTGGGTTCGAGCCCCGCGTCGGGCTCTGGGCTGATGGCTCAGAGCCTGGAGCCTGTTTCCGATTCTGTGTCTCCTTCTCTCTCTGCCCCTCCCCCGTTCATGCTCTGTCTCTCTCTGTCCCAAAAATAAAAAAAACGTTGGAAAAAACAAAAAAATTTAAAGTGTGTTTTTAGAATGAGAACAAAGAACTTACATGGTGTTTCTTTCTAGGTCATTCAATATTAACAGGGTTGCGACCCAGGCTGTGGAAGATGTTTTAAATATTGGTGAGTACCAGAATAGCTATTTATGTTACAATTATAATGTACTATATAATGTATATATTTTATTGTATGTTAGCTATTATGACATTATTTAATCAAGATATTCCACCCTTTCCTTTTTCAATAGCAAAACGACAAGGAAATTTAAGTCTTCCATTGAACAGAGAATTGGTAGAGAAAGGTCAGTGACTAATGATCATAATTACTAACAGTTTCATTCAAGTTCTGTATCAGTCTTTAGGATGTTATTATGAAGTATGCTTGTCTAATTAGCAAAGCATTGTACTTTTTTGACTCAAATGGGCCCTTGATATAATACCTTTACGTATATTTAAACAATAAAAAGTTTAGAGCTGGACTTTATATTAGATTTTTGTGAACTATGAAATATAACCTCTGTGCCAAAACTCTTAACTACATACATATTCTGGGGGATAGGAAAATATAGAAAAATACAGATATGGCAAATGGTAAATGTTTACCTAAACTCCGTGTGCCATTAATATCCTCTGAATGAAAAGGAGTTTACTGAGCTGTGAATGCTTATCTTCACATTCGCTAAAATCTTCTCTTTAACTTTCTCCTTTCTATTCCTGCCCGGTTACTTCAGGGTTCCTTTGAGAGAACCAGCACTGTTGGGAAAGACTACTACTGATCAGGGAACTTGAAGGCCTGGGCTCTAATCCCAGACCAACCAGTCACTCACTGGAAATATGAGCAAGACTGTGGTTCCATTCTTCTACTTCTTGAACTATAAAAGGATGAAGTAGAGATAGATTGGTAATACCTAAGGGGGTTCTTCAAATTTATTCTTCAAGTTTTTCTGTTCTAAATATTTAAATTCTTAAATTGGAAAACACATTCCTTTGATTTGCTTATGAAATTAACTCACTAAAATCCCCTCTCCTGTACCAGAATCATTTTTGTACAGACCTCAAACTAAAGATTCTCTAGTTGTCTCTGTTTAATTGAAGAGTATCCTAAGTTTTCAAGATTATTAAAAAAATCCAAACTTGTTCATAGTGCATCTCGTTATCTATGTAAGGGTGTTCAACATATACAACCAAAACCAAATACACAAAGTGGATACTGGCAAATGTAAGACTGCAGCTGGCATCCATAAACACAGACACTTGAATTTAAGAGTTATCAAAATAGTCTCACTCTTTTTGGTTGCCTTTTAAATAATTTAGCAATACACAATAAAGTATTTGAATAGTGCCAGTTCATTTATGTGTGTATTTTAGATTTCCACATAAGACTTACATTACTGGGGGACATGGTTGGCCTTTCATAGTTTGAAAACAGGACTAAATCTCTGAAGTCCCTTTCAACTGTCTAAAACGGACTTTCTCCCTCTCTCAATTTGAGACCAAAACGATTATTTTGATCACAGCTTATGAGCTAGCATTAGCTTTAAATCTGTGTTAGAGTTAAATTAGGCATTTACAGTAGTTGATTCATTATATAATTTAACTTAAAGGGGCACCTGGGTGGCTCAGTGGGTTAAACATCCGACTCTTGATTTCAGCTCAGGTCATTATCTCATAGTTCATGAGTTCGAGCCTTGCATTGGGCTTGTGCTGAGAGTGCAGAGCCTGCTTGGGATTTTGTCTCTGCCCCTCCCCTGCTCATGCTCACTCACTGTCTCTCAAAATAAAAAACTTCAAAAAACAATTTAACTTAAAACGTATATAAAACAACTGAAATTTATATCGGGTATGTAAATTTAAGGGTATACATAAAATACAGTGATTTTTCCACTTTACGAATGAATGTTATTCCTTTGAAGATTTGACTGTCCTCAGAAACAATAGTGAATGCCAGTAGTGCAGTCACTGTTACAGACATTTCTGGAACTACCTTCAGAGCTAGCATTTTTTTTTTTTAAGTGATCTCTATGCCCAAAGTGGGGCTCGAACTCACGATCCTGAAATCAAGAGTTACATGCTCTACCCACTGGACCCAGACAGACAGCTGTAGCTAGCACATTTTGAGTGTTTGTGTTCCCAGAGGAGCAAATTTTTGAGAGTAAATTAGATTTTTTTCAAGGAGCCAAATAATTTAAACAAAATTTTGGTAAATAAGGTGGATTGTCTGACAGTCTTATAATGTTTTAATGTGGTGTTCAACTATACGTTCTTTCAAGCCTGATTTCCTTGTATAATTGTTTTTGACCAATTTATGTTTTGCCTACCAACTGTCATGTGCCTCTTGGTTAGAAAGCAGGTCCCAAAGATTTCTAAAAATATCTTGTGTAATGAGAGTTTCATTAGAGAAAGCGTATTACCTGTAATTTTTTGAGACTGCATTTTTAATCAAGAGAATTAACTTAATATTTATGGACACTTTGACGTGGTGTTTTGGAAGGGAATTTGGCAAGGGACTATGGCAACTCAGGTTCTGTTTTTGAATGCCCCAAGTTAGTTCCTCTACTTTTGTTTAATTACTGGTTTTGTAGCCCACTCCCCAGTATGTCTCCAGCTGATGTGTCAGGGGCTTTGGTGGCCTTATCTTGAAACCTAATCCTCATTTTATAAAGTTTTTTGTTCTTTTAATGGAATGTGTTGTGAGTTCCAAGAAAGTTTCTGCCAAACAGACCTTTGAAACAGAGTTGCATTTAAATTGGGGATAGCATAGCATCCATTTTTCATTTTGCACTTCTCAGAAGTGACTGTCTTTCTTTGAATGTGCTAATACTTTTTTTCCTTTATAGTAACAAATGAATATAACGAATCGCTGCTCTATAGTCCAGAAGAACCAAAAATACTTTTCAGTATTCGAGAACCAATAGCAAACAGAGTTTTCTCCAGCAGTCGTCAGCGCTGCTTCACGTCAAAGTAAGCTTCCAAAGGCCAGCCTGTGACTATGCTTCCATCTCTTGTAATTATAAATGGGTTTTGGTTTTAAAGTATTCAGTATGATGAAATTCACTCATTCACACTTAATCTAGTAGGAAAAGTAGGGCTTTTGGAACTAGTGAGGCGTCATGCTATATATACCCTGGAGGAAATATTTCCTTTCCCAACTTGTGCCATTTTAGAGAAACTATAAGTAAATAGAAGGGGCATAATTATCTAACTGGGTGATATGGATTTGTTGTTTTCATATATTAAGACAGAATAAGATCAAATTATCACTTTAAAAGAAACTGGAAAGCAACTTTTTTTTTATATGCTATTGGATTAAAAAAAAAAAAAAGCAGGACAAATATTCATATAAAACCTAACTTGTAAAGCCGTAAACTTTTAGAGTAGGACTCATTTCTTTCAGCTTTTTCCTAAAAGTGACCTCCCTCTTCCTCGCATTTACTGAATTTGATTTTTGTTTGAAGGGAAGATATCAAAAAACCTTATAATTTATTTTATAAAGGTTGCCCAATTTTCTAAACAAAACTATGAAAAAATGTCATTTGTCTCATGGCAAGCAAAGAACAGTTTAATTATGAATTGCTACTTATATAGTGTGCATATTTTCTTTTTTGAAATATGATTGATATTTTTTCTAGGAAAAACAAATTCCTTTTACTCATTTGAAAGTTAATTTTGATCGACAAATCTATGTACTCAATTTAGGTGAAATTACAAAGACATTTAAATTTTGCTCATATAAACAGAATAAGCTTCATGACTTTGGCAGTTGGACAATATTAACAAAAGATGGAGAAATTGAACTATTCAGAATTAAGTACTTTTCTTAATGGAGACACCATTAAGGAAAAAAAAAAAAAGGGCAAGCCACAGAGTGATAGATATTTAACAATGGACTTCTATCCAGAATATTGTAAAGATTCCTACAACTCTATTAAGAAAAAGGCAACTCAGTAGAAAAATTGCCAAAGTCCTGGACAGGCCTTTCACAGAAGAGGGTATCCAAATGGCTCAGTGTATGAAAAACATCCTTGACCTTATTATTCATGTGGGGAATGCAAATGGAAACTATATAATATGATACCATACACACCCACCAGAATAGCTAAGGTGCTAGTTGTTGGTAAGGTGGGAGTAACTGCAACTTACATGCAGTATTTTTAGGACTAGTTTGGCATATTGTTTGGCAGTTACCTACCAAAGCTGAATAAAGCACACACAGTGACCAAGCAAATTCGCTCTTAGGTATATATCCAACAGAAATGTATACACACATACGTCTGCAACAAAAGACATGCTTAAGAATATTTGTAGTAGCACTACTTCCAGTAGTAAAAACCCAGATGTCTATGAATAGAGGAGGTACGTAAATTTTGGTATTTTCACACAATGGAAATGTTTTCATATAGCAATGAAAATGAACACAACACAATACTACTATATGTAATAACCATGGATGAATTTCACAAGCATACTTTTTTGTTTATTTTTGAGAGAGAGAGAACATGAGCAGGGGAAGGACAGAAAGAGAGAGAGAGACACAGAATCTGAAACAGGCTCTGAGCTGTCAGCACAGAGCCCCACATGGGGCTCGAACTCATGAACCATGAGATCATGACCTGGGCCAAAGCTGGCCCTTAACTGACTGAGCCACCTGGGTGCGCCCACAAGCAAACTGTCAAGCAAAAGAAGCTAGACACAAAGCAAACCTATGTGTTCTTCCATTTATATAAAGTTTAAGAACAGAGCTATTACCACTATGGTGACTGAAATTAGGGTAGTGGGCATGCGTGGGAAGGATGGCCAAGGGTAGAGACTGGAGGAGAGCAGTGAGGGAGCTCACTGCTCCCTCACTGGGGAGCTGGGGAACATTTGATTCCTCATTTGGGTGATGAAGGCTGCACAAGTGTGTTCACTGAGCTGTTCATTTGTGCCTCTTCATTTGTTCTTAAGTCAAAATTATCCATGAAAATAGTTACATTCTCAGTATTAGTACTTAAAATAGTAATAACTCAACATTTTGTCATATGAAAAAAGCCTGTGAGTTCCATCAAGTCTGAACTTGTTCTCTTGAAAATGTTTGGGTGAATGGAGCTATCCTGAATATCTTAATTTTGAGATTTTGGTAACATACAGTTACTCTCTCAAACCAAAGAACAACTTGATTTTTAAAATGAAGGCCAAATGATCTGCCAGTTTCAATGAAAATTAAAGAAATCATAATTTTAAAGTTTTAAAGAAATCATAATTTAAAGTTAAGAAAACTTTATATTAATGAGATGTTTTTTCTGCTTAGGGTATGTGTTCGATCTCGTTGTTGGGATGCCTGCATGGTTGTGGATGGAGGTACTTCTTTTGAGTTTAATGATGGAGCAATTGCCTCGATGATGATCAATAAAGAAGATGAGCTTCGAACTGTGATTCTAGAGTAATGAAAAATTTCCTCAGATGACAAATTTTGATTACTGGGAAAATACGTTCACCGCAGAAACAGACTACCAATCATAAAGCTACATATTTTGGTTATTGTTGAGACTGGTTGGCCCTGAGCTCCAAAGGTGACCAAGGAAGTGAGATTTGCATTATTCTTCTTTTGGATTTGGATAAAAAAGATGTTCACTGTGTTAGAGAATGGATGGACTAAACTGATCAGAATTTATACTTCTACATTGCTTATAGTTGGTATCAAAGAGTACTGATACATTTTTAAATTTAGAGAGGTAAGCTCAAATAAAGGATTAAATGTTTAAGATTTGAAATTTCACTGTACAAGATTTTTTTTTTCCCTTTCCTAACTTTGTGGAATTGGTCAGACCAACATATATCATTTAATTAGGGTATATTTTTTATAGTACCTAAAAATCAAGATTTTTAAAAAATTTTGATGGAGAATTTTTGATAAATCCTGACATTGACCTAACTGAAGTAGGTAAATGTGTTTTTTATATGTGCTTAGAATTTTCTAATTTCAGAGGACAATACTGTTATGGCTCTATTGATTTAAGAAGTTCAAATCATTTTTGAAATTATCAATGTTTTCATTTAATTGATTTTCAGGTTAATTTTGACAGTTCTGGGTGAAATACATATATCTGGACAAAATCATGATACTGTTGCAAATGTATTAATTATCCAATAGCTATTTGAGGGAAGAGACTTTTTTAAATGGTTTTGAGTCTTAATAGATTCCTTCCATATTTAAAACTCTAACATGGAATCAGAGACTATAAGAATGAACTGATTAGACGTATTCTATTAGGAGTTTGGTAAAACCTTTTAAAAATATTTTCATCCAGTATTATGAGGTTTGTCAGAAAATGGATTCTTTAATAAATATGCAAAACACAATTAGTTGGAATTGCCTTGCTTTTAATATCATGGTAGTTTTCACTAGCTCATATTCCATGTTTTTACACATTAGCTTTGGGAGATAAAATGTTATGGCTTCTCTTGCCCTCCCTCCACTATGAGATTTCCTTTAGTTTGAGAGGAAATTATCTAATTATTGATCTACTTACAAGTAATCCTAGAATTTTCACAAAAAGCACCTATTGCTGTGTCATGAGACAACTGGTAATCTCATGCCATTTATTCAAAGTTGTATCTGTTTTTTTTCACTTGCTGCTAAAAAGTTCAACATTGAAATATTTATTCAACACATACCTTGTGCCATGTACTGTGTCAGATGCTGGATCTCAGTTGATCAATGAAAAAGACTGTCCTGATAGAACTTGAGACGAGTGGGCTCAAATTCTGTGAGAGCTAGGATATATAATCAAATTGAGTGCTATTACTTTTGCCAACATTTAATATGTTCTTGTCAAATTTTTAAATAAATGTTACTATACAAAGGTAATCTAGGTTTTGATGTATATCCAGAACAAGAATCTGTTTTTCTTTTCGAAGAGTATCTGCATAGACGTTCAAAGCAGTGTTTACATGATGTGTACAATGAAAATTAGTGTTTTCCCAGAGCTGGATCTAGTTTCTGGCTTGATTTAAAAATGTACTGAAGATAACACTTTATGAAGAAGTGAAATTCCATACCATAAAAATTCCTCTAAGAAGTTTAAAATACCTTGACAAAAATGCCAACTCTATCCAAAATGGTACCATAGATCTGTTAATGTTACATATTAATAGGCAATCTGCTCTGTAAAATTGCTCATAAGCCATATTTTAAAGGTTTAAAAAATAGTTAATGTGCTGCATTTGCAGTATAACTAACATTTCTGCTAGGTGTTGGGGATTTATTTGTTAAGAGATAAGAGGCAAAGGATATTGCAATAGAAGAAACGTGTTTATGAATGAGTTAACCTTTTAATGGCAACTATGTGAATAAACATAATTAAACTGGTATTATCTTTTTTTTTAAACTACATTTGCTTGCTTAACTCTTATAGCACCATTAATGGAAAATCAGATTCTCCCAAAATGGTAAGTTTCAGGTCTTTTCCACCTGGAAAAGATACTTTCCAGGATACTGCTGATGTTGCACACAGAACTAGGACTTGTTATATAAGCAGAGGGTAAAGTACTTACTTTTTAAGTATAGACTCTGCAGATATTTTTCACTAGTTTTGATGTTCCACATGTATTTATATTCGTGGCCCCACTAAATCAAATCATATTGAATGTTTAGTAGCCTTCAGGTATAAAGAATTTCCATTCATTTCACTTTTTAAATATCAAAATAAACTATGTATAAATCATTAGAACCAGTTAACACAAAGTTATCAAAAAATATTCACTTGATGCACATGGAACACTCTCCAGAACAGATCACATATTAGGGTACAAAACAAGTCTTAATGAATTCAAAAAGACTTAAGTAATGTCATGCATCTTTTCATCTAGTTTCATAACAATTCTATAAAACTAGAAATCAACCACAAGAAAAAATCTGGCAAGACCATAAAGACATGGAGGTTAAATAACATGCTACTAAAAGCAAGAAATCAAAGAAGAAATATAAAGTTACATGGGGACAAATGAAAATCAACACACAACAGTCTAAAATCTTTGGGATGCAGAAAAAGTGGTTCTAAGGGAAGTTTATAGCAATACAGGCCTATTCAAGAAGCAAGAAAAATCTCAATCTAACCTTATACCTAAGGAGCTAGAAAAAGAACAAAACTCAAAACCAGCAGAAGGAAAGAAATAATAAAAATCAGAGCAGAAATAAATGATACAGAAACTAAAAAAACAATAGAACAGATCAATGAAATCAGGAGCTAGTTTTTTGAAAATATAAACAAAATTGATAACCTTCTAGCCAAACTCCTCAAAACAGACAAAACCAAACAGCCAATACCATAGAAATACAATTAGAATACTATGAAAAGTTAGATGCCAACAAATTGGACAACCTAAAAGGATGCCTCTCTAAAAACATGTAACCTACCAAAACTGAAACAGGAATAGAAAATTTGAAGAGACTGATTACCACCAATGAAATTGGAATCAGTAATCAAAAAACTTGCAACAAACCAAAGTCCAGGACCAGATGGCTTCATAGGTGAACTCTACCAAACATTTAAAGAGTTAATACCTGTTCTCCTCCAACTATTCCAAAAACCAGAAGAGAAAGAAAAACTTCTAAATTCATTCTATGATACCAAAACTAGATAAAGGCACCACAAAAACAGAACTACAGGCCAGTATCTCGGATAAACGTGGATACAAAAATCCTGAATAAAATAGCAAACTGAACCAAACACAATGCATTTAAAAAAATCATTCACCATGATCAAGCGGGATTTATACCCAGGGTGTAACAAGGGTGGGTCAATATTCACAATCTATCAACATATGATGCATCACGTCAATAAGAAAGGATAAAAACTATAGGGCAATTTCAGTAGATGCAGAAAAAGCATTAGACATAGTACAACATCCATTCATGATAAAAACTCTCAAGGTAGGTTTAAAGGGAACATACCTCAACATAATAAAGGCGACATATGAAAAAACAACAGCAACCCTCCTACTCAATGGGAAAAAAACTGAAAGCATTTCTCCTAAGGTCAGTAAAAGATAAAGCTGTCCACCCTCACCACCTTTATTCAACATAATACTGGAAGTCCTAGCCACAGCCATCAGGCAAGAAAAAGAAAAGGCATCCAACTTGGCAAGGAAAAGGTAAAACTTTCACTATTTACAGATGACACGATACTATATATAAAAATCCCTAAAGACTCCCCCAAAAATACTAGAACTGATAAATGAATTCAGTAAAGTCATAGGATAAAAAGTCAATATACAGAAATCTGTTGCATTTCTATACACTAATAATGAAGCAGCAGAAAGAGAAATTAAAACAATTCCATGTATAATTACACCAAAACTAATAAAACATCTAAGAATAAACTTAACCAAGGAGGTGAAAGACTTGTACTCTGAAAACTATAAAACACTAATGAAAGAAAGATGACACAAAGAAATGGAAAGACATTCTGTGCTCATGGATTGTACTGTTAACATGTCTATACTACCCAGGGGTACTTGGGTGTCTCGGTTAAGCGTCCGACTCTTGGTTTTGGCTCAGGTCATGATCTCACGGTTTGTGAGTTTGAGCCCTGCATTGGGCTCCGTGCTGCTGGTGTGGAGCCTGCTTGGTATTCTCTCTCTGCCCCTCCCCCACTTGCAGTATCAAAATAAACTTTTTTTTAAAAAGCCTAATTACCCATAGCAATCTGCAGATTTAATGCAATCCCTATACCAACAGCATTCTTTTTTTTTTTTTTTTTTTTAATTTTTTTTTCAACGTTTATTTATTTTTTTGGGACAGAGAGAGACAGAGCATGAACGGGGAAGGGGCAGAGAGAGAGGGAGACACAGAATCGGAAACAGGGTCCAGGCTCCGAGCCATCAGCCCAGAGCCTGACGCGGGGCTCGAACTCACGGACCGCGAGATCGTGACCTGGCTGAAGTCGGACGCTTAACCGACTGCGCCACCCAGGCGCCCCACCAACAGCATTCTTAACAAACCAACAGGACAGAATCTAGATAAACAGTCCTAAAGTTTGTATGGAACCACAAAAGACCCCAGATAGCAAAGCTGTCTTGAAAAAAAGAAAACTGGAGGCATCACAATTCCAGACTTCAAGTTATACTACAAAGCTGTAGTAATCAAAACAGTATCATACTGGCACAAAAACAGACACATAGATCAATGGAACAGAATAGAATACCCAGAAATAAACTCACAATTATATGGTCAATTAATCTTTCACAAAGGACATAGCTGGCCTACTGCTGGCAGGCACCATTTCTGCCACTACCTAGCTAACACTGCTTGCCTTGTCCTACTCCCTTACAGACCTGATCCATCCAAATAGTCTACTCTAGCAGGTGCCCCTCCAAAACAGCTCCCATCCTACCATACCCAGCAGGGGTGGCCTTGGTCCAGTGCTCCTCCCCAAAGCAGCTC